AACTATTGCTGAACATCAGTTTCATGCTGCAGATTTTTCCTCTCCTTGAAGTGATATTTTACTTGAAAGTATGGATCAATTTAGTCCTTGTTTCCTTAGTTGCTTATGATTGCTTCTTTTCTAATACTTGTGATCACCAAACCCTCTGTTCTTTACTTTTCCATCTGGTGGCAAAATCATAGGTGGTTTTCTGATTAATTTTGCTTGAAATGTTCTCTAGTATGAAAGAGTACGAGGAGAGGGCAGTATCATTGGCACTGAATCGGCCGAAGCTCCAAGCACTTACCAACAAATTGAAAGCAGTGAGAATGACTTGCCCTCTATTTGACACGACTCGATGGGTATGCACATGTGATCTATATGCAATTACATTGTACGTTTGTGTGTTTAGAATTAGAAAATGCTTACGGTTCTTATGCCAACTTGTGTGTTGTAGGTAAGGAATCTGGAGAGGTCATACTTCAAAATGTGGAACTTGCATTGTTCGGGGCAGCGGCCGCAACATTTCAAAGTGACCGAAAACAATTTGGAGTTCCCCTATGATAGATAGGTAAGAGAGATGACACGGGATTGTATATAACATAAAAGAGAGATTTTCAGTTGGGAAAAATTGATATGTAGAATGTGTATCCACGGGGTATAATATATCTGATCAAAACGGATGTTGTTATAGAGATGTCATAAAATGATTTATTATGGAAGTTATTTGGCTGCAGCACAGCCATTCCACGCCTTCATTGTTTGTATTGGTAAGCCTTGCTGGTAGTTTTGATGTGATCTGATCAGCAGAGTGTTGTAGCATATTCGACTAGTGGGTTGGGTGCTCGACATTGACATTGTATTCCATGGTGTTCCGAGTTTCTCCGTATGACAAAAGGATCAGCTTCTCGAGTTTAATATCTGCTGCCATTGCCTAGGAGAATGCTACAGAGGTTGTTTGTTTGTTTCGACTTGATTCAGATTGCTGGTGTGTGGTTAAATAGAATGTTGTAAGGTAAGCAGTGGAATAAAGCAAAGAAACCAACACCTTTTGGTCGTGAGGTAGTGAAATATTTCAGATTTGTTTCTTGTTTTATTGTTGAGATTACAAGAAAATATAAGCAGCAGCTGTTCTATTATTATATTGTTCAAGATATTATGGCCAATAATATCTTATGTATTTTGTGTGCTGGAACCATTTAGGCCATTCTCGATATGTGAATATGCTATTTGAATACTGAATCTCTATTTGTTGGAAGGATTTAAGGGAAAAATTTATGGTTAAGGATCGGTTTATATATTATTAGAGTTCCATGGAAGGTTGAGGCCGCAAGAGTAAGTGATTGTGGTTGTATGAGAATTGAGAAGCATGCTCAAACTTTACTCTTACAATACGTTTTGATTGATGAGGGAACATGGATGACTGATTAAAATTGAAGATGTCCCCTCATTGTGTAGATAATCAGTGGCCTTTGTTTTGTTTTTGAATGTTGTCCTTTCATGTAGGGATTGGACTGAATTTAGTTTGTTTGAGCTTGCCAATTAGGTATTCCTAAGCATTGGTTAAGCCTCCTCAATAAAGATAAGCTCATAATTCAAAAGATGATTTAAAAGTCAAACAAACACTACTACAGTCTTGTAAGTAACGAGATTTCAAGAAATTAGTTGATTTCTTTACGAGTCAAATTTTAAAATCTCAACCTATTTGATTTGAGAAGATGCAAAATTGTGGAGGGGATGTTTGGAATCTCTTGGACAGTGGGGAATTTTACATTGGTGTAATGTTGAGCGTATCTGATGTTTAAGTTAGGATGTTCAACTAGAGGAGGTTGAGGTGGATTGGTGTAACGTTGAGCCTATGGTCATCTGATGTTTAAGTTAGAAGGTGAACTAGAGGAGGTCGAGGTTGGTCAGGTAAAGATCGTATACTATATAGAGGTCAGATAAAGATTGCGTACTAGATCTAGTCGTTTTTATGGGGTGATTAATCATAGAGGTCAGATAAAGATTGCGTACTAGATCTAGCTGTTTTTATGGGGTGATTAATCATAGTGAGTGTAGAGTTGGTCTCCAGTTGTTTCGTTTTGCTTTTACCCAAAAATGTTTCTAATGCGGTGAAGTTCCCCTTGAATCCTCTCATCCAAGAGTTCTTGGAGCAGGTGGGGCTCGTTCGTTCATAGAATGCATTGAACGATTAGTCCACCATTTTGGGTTGAGTCTTTTGGTACAATCTTGGTGGTGGCAAGTTACTCCCTCTGTTGAAGCTGAATCTTGATGGCAGTTACGTGCTCTCACTCGAATTAAGTGGTACCTTCCGACGCTTCTTTCTTCAATCACAACTGCGACTCCCAAAGAAAGAAGCTGACTTTACATCTCTATTCAAGTATGCTACCAAGCTAGAGACTCCAACCGCGACCTCAGCACCAATTGAAGTCTTTCTCTTCGATGCATCCTTTCGCTTATGCGACTTCATCTATTCGTTGAACCGTCTGACAACTTCGGTTATTACCTGACAACAATTGAACTCATTTTCTTTTTCTTATCCTGGCCTCCCAATTGTTGAACCTGAATTGATGGATCTATCCTGGTTGTCAATGCTACCGGTTTTATCCTGTCTCCATCTTAAGCATTTGCAACTTTGTGCATTATCTGTCTCTTTGATACTTTGGCTAACACCAAACCTCGTTGTGTACACTGTAGATGTCCAGTGGCCAACAACTACCAACTTGAATAATCTAGTGAGTTTCCACATGTTTCCAGAAAACTCATTTCTGTAACCATCATCATCCAGCTAACTTGTAGATATCAGATTCATTTTAATGCTGGGTACATACCTACATCATGCAGAACCAATTCAGTCACACTGTCGGTCTTTAGACTAATATCTCTAATTCCTTTGGTCTTGGATAGTCTACGATTTCCCATCTTCACCATGTCATGATTGACTCTAGTGAAATATGTGAACGATCTACTATCTGAAGCTATATGTATTAAAGCTACATTGTCTACTACCTCAGTTATTCTCAACACAAACAAGAGCATCATGCACAACTATATTTACATTTGCCTCCAAATTTTTCAGATCCTTATTCAGTTTTCTATAGTGCCTCTCCTTCTTGTGGCAGTATTAACATTCGATTTCACCATTCTCATTCCTCCTGTTATTTCTATGTTGTCGATCATCATATTCAACCTTTTCTTTACCTTTAAGCTGAACCGCCAATACTGAGCTGGAACTAGAACTAGAAGTGGATTATTTTACACTCTTTCGTGCGAATTTGCTCAGCAATTGCAGCATCACAAATTTCTGTAAATTTCAAATTATTATTTCTTAACAAATTAGACACAACCGTCTTCATCGTTTTCTTCAGAGAAGCTAGCTGATTGACTAAATTATTGACTTTATATATATTGGAATTCACAGAAGCATTCTCATCCATACGAATGTTAAAATATCTCCTAAAAAGATATACCTTATTATTGGCAGAGAGTTTTTTATACCTGTTCGTCGATGCATTCATCAGACCTATCGCTGTTGTCTCATTCGCTATGAGACTCGTCACATTCATTGATAGACACAATCTAATAATTGCAATTGCCTGTTCATCCATTTATTCCAACTGGTTGTTCCTTTAAAGCTTTGTGCACCTTTTTGCAGGTTAAGTAATCCTTAATCTGCATTTTCCAATACTCAAAGTTGGCTCCATCAAACCTCATAATTCCTTCAAAACTTGATTGCTTACCCAAATCCTATGATTCTTAATCAAAAACTCTGATACTAGTTGGGAAAGATATGTAGTAAAATAAAATATCCCTAGTTCTCAAGCAAGAGCAATCCAACCGGATTTAACTAGTTTTTTCCCCTTTCACAGAATAGAGCAGACCGTAGTTTAATGAATAATAAGGGAAATACGAGATATGGATAGAAAAGTAAACACCAGATCACCCCAAGCTTGGAGCTCGTCTAGTCTTTTGCAATATGCAGGTTCCACTATGTTGAGAAGATTACAATGAGTCTTTCTTCACTCTCTGGATGCTGCAACAGTAGCTACCTAGCTTCTAAGCACTAAGCACTACAACAATAGCTACTTAGAGATATAGAATGAAGAACCTTACATGAATCGTGAGAACGCTGACAACACTCTACCACACAAGATCTCACTTTCCACTACTTCCCATTTTCCATTTTTTTTAGAAAAAGGCATTGGGCGGGCCCTTATCTCCATTCCCAACAATTCCATCCATCGAGACTTGAGGATGTTCCTCAAGTCGTATCTACAAGCAACGTTTCAAATGTCGATCGACACGTCAACATGCGGCTCGACATGTCAATGTGTCACTAAGGTCAACACGTTGAAAGGGGAAAAATCGTTTTTATCCTCTTATCAATGATATAATAAAATATCGTCAAAATATCGCGACGTCGACATTTCGGTGATATTTAACAACATATATTTAAATTTAAAAAATTAACTAAAAGATTGGGCCCATAAACATGAGCACAACCCATCCACAATCCACAAATTAAGAAGTTGATGAGGAAAGAGGTGGGGGAGGGGGTTTTATAGGAGGCGCTCCCCTCCCTCCCTCATTGCGTTTTCGATGTGGGATTGGGATGGGGGTGGTTGCTGCGGTTTTTTTTTCCTTCTAATAATAATAATGATAATATTATTATTATTATTTAAATTTATTCATTTATTTTTATTTATACATTTTTTTGAAATATACCTTCACATCTTGAAAAATAATTATTATTTCAAAGACTTTCAAATTTGTGTCTTTATATTTTCTCGAAATTAACTTTAGACACTAATTCATTTGATATTTGCAACGATGCCATTGTTCCACTGAGATTATTTTTGTAACAATGAAATTGACTTGTCATATTTTTTATTCTTGTTTTTTTTAATTTTAACCTAAAGACATATTTTTGTTTTCAAATTTAATTACAAAATTTTTAAATCTATCATATTCATATGTATATGTGTGTATATATACATATCAATATTTCATATATTGTTCAATTATGTAACTAAAGACTAGATTTGGTTACAAATTATTAATAAAACATAATTAAGCAACATTGAACTTCAATTTACTAATTTAAATTATTTCCATCAATCTCCATTATCTTGTTCCGACACTTCTATCGACATGGACAGTTACATATTTTTACATATGATGGTTAAAATCGATCCATTATAGCTAATGCTTAGTGAGGGCCCATCAACCCAACTCACTCCTCAACTCGATCTCCCTCATAGGAAGCTAGAGCATCAGCTTGGTTATAGGAAGCCTACAACGTGGTTGGTAAAAGGTATGTCCAATAAGGCCGCCTTCCATTTCCTTCCTTTGAACTACAAGGCATGAAAGAGCTCCATTTCTTTTGTGGTGGGGAAGGGCAATCACGATGGTGCCGTTGTAGGAAGCTTTGTTTTCTATTTTTCTTATTCTTAATTGTAACCGGAAAACTACTTTTGAGCCTTTGTTAGTTAAACTCATTTCTCATTTTCTTTCTTCAATTTGAATTTTTCATCATTAAGTCACCTCGGCTAAAATGGGTATTGTTTATGCAAGAGTACGGTTCTTCGCGAATCAAGCTCGAACCCGGTCTCCGGATCCGACCTGAACACTCGGGTGGACCTGCACAAGAGGGTAAGCACTCCGACGCTCAAGCTAGTACAGATCGGATTCTGTATTTAGTTCGAAGTGAGATTCGATCCCTGAGCGTGAAATGAAGCCCTCTATTTATAGGTGATGGATCCGACAGTACACACGACCGACGGTTATATGTCTTTTCTCATATCGGACCTGTCGGGTTCCGAGCAGGTCGGACCCCAGCCAGGTCGAACCTTGACTCCCATAGTCTTTTATAATGGGCGAACCCGGTCTCCTCGACAAGGCCGAGGTGGACCTAGGCAATCCCTCTTATTTAGTTTCTTCAAATATCAATAAGGGTCCTCCACGTGTCCTGGGTATGTTTACCCTCAAACATTGGCCCCCTCTCTATTAGGTTCGATCTCGACCTGACAGAGAAGTTCATCTGAGTCCATTCTGGACACGTGGCGACTTTTCATTTGTAGAGGGAATATGACCGTTGCGGAAGACGTTTCGATCTGCCAGGTTGTCGGAGCACTCAAGCATTCCGTCGTTGCGTATCTCGAGAAGATCTTAGCCGCTCGTTGATTACACGTGTACGACGCAAAGACTTTTCCGATTAGTTATAAATAGTCCTGAGATTTCAGGTCAAACCTCACGTTTCCTGAATTTCTGGAGTTCGATCTG